GATTCAAAGATGGTTTTCCCTTTTCACAAGATGAAGCATCAAAAACGGGTCTTACCTTAGTGCTTTCACTATTCATCTTAATAACCGGTCTGTGTGGTAAAAAGTGGCATTTATTGTTTAATTCCTTTTCCGGAACCTTTTCTATAATATTTAAATTTTCCCACTCTCTAAACACTTCTTGATATTCCTTCAAAGAATTATTTTCTTTTGCCCTCTTTATCATTTTTTGATGACGTGTCAAAGCAATGCTTTTATTATCTGATAAATTGGTAGATTCGCATTTCCAGGGTAATTCTAATTCATATCTACCATCGGGCCGAATAGATAATTTATTCTGAAAATCAATCTCGTAGTCGCAATGAAGATTTTTCGTTTTACTATTTTCCGTCGGGTCGGAAATACCCAAAACTTCAAGCTCCCATAAAGATTTCAAAGAAGCATTATTTACATGTGCAAGGAAAGACTTATTAGGGCATTATCCCTGACAGTATCATTTTCTTTACCCATAACCGTCCAACCCAGTTTTGTTTTGACTGCAGTTAAACCAGAGGGTAATTCTAGGTATTCGTCAGTTAACAGTTTACCAATGACATCTGCACCTATCAATAAATCAATTTCACTTTCCTCGCAAAATGTGTCACTGACCTCAATTTTCCTGCTTTTCAATTCCTCTATAATCTGAGCATTCTTGATTGTTGGAACAAATCCACATATCTTTTTTTCAGAAAAAGCTTCAAAACAACACCTAAAAGTGTTATCTAAACTGCTTATGTCAATAGCAAAAACAGAATGGGTTACAGGCGCAGTTTCCCTCCCCCCAAACAAACCATGAATTACTTTCTCCTGTCGAATAGGATCAGCCTTCATTCGCTTCATAATTTTCTCCCCAACGTATGATCGTTGGGATCCCGAATCCAAGAGAATCCTAATTTTTCTCTCTCGATCTTTAACTTTAATTAGAACACATAAAGTTTGCAAATAAACTTTCTCGCTCTTACTATTATTAGAAAGGGAAACATCCAACTTAGAGTCATTTTGTTTTACAGAACTAACATTCTGAGGACACATAAATTTTATATGATCACAACTGCAAATGGGGCATTTAATATTGGCTTTACATTGGTTTTTTAAATGGCCAATTCTTAAACATGAAAAACAAACACCTTTCTTTTGTACAAGTTGCCTCTTTTCATTTAAGCTCATATTTTCAGCTTTAAAACACTTAGCACTCATATGAGGCTTACCACAAAATATACAAACATTTTGCTTACCTTTACTGGTTTCATTTGTACTTACCAGCGCGGCAGCTGTTGCTAAATCTGAATTACCTGAAATAACATTTTTATTAAGACGCTTAACAGAATGAGTAAATCCTGATTGTGCTAATCTAATCATTTCTTCCGATTCTACTTCATGCCTTAAAAAACACATTAGTTTTTCAAGCGTTCTTTCAGAACTCTTTTCCTGTCCCTGTTCAGAAGTTCGACTCCGCTCCCAGGCACGTAGAATATTCTCAGGTAGGCACGACTCCACTAAAGGTCCCAAGAAATCAGCAAACTTTTCCTTGGTGCGTCCTAAGCTTTCCAGCGCTCGTAATTTACTTTCTATACTATCATAAAGTACTCCTAAGTCCGACGCCGTTCTGCCTGTTGTAGCATTCTTTGTAACAAGCCCAAGCAAATCTCTTACATAGATCTGCACCAGAAGGTCTTCTCTACCAAATCTTTCTTTCAGCTGCTCGATAGCTTTAGGATAATTCGCGGCGGTAACAGGAAAACTGTTCAAAAGTTGAGCTGCCTTTGAGCCAGGTACTGCACTTTGCACTAAGTACAAAAATTTATCTTCCGGCACAATATCCGCATCTTCATGAATTTTGGAGAATTGGCTCCAAAAGCCTAAAAATTCTCTTGCATCTCCAGAAAATTTTTTCAGTTCAAGTTTAGGAAGTTTGAACTTCCTGTTTTTATTTTCTTTAGGATCCGAAATCGAAACTGAAGCAATATCTGTAGTAACATTCATCGAATTCAATTGTCCAATTTTATTCTGAAGTTTCACCTTTAAAGCTATAAAGGAATCTCTGTATCCTTCAGCCGTATTAAATTCATTCTCGAAATCAGCTTCCTTGGTTTGTTCTAAAACACTGCTTTGAGTACTGTCCAAGCGTTCAAATTTGTCAATTAGTTGCCCCAACAACACTTGCAATCTCTCAGGATCCGTACAAGTAGGCAATTCTTCTTCCACAATCTTCGTAGTTAACGTAAACGAAGTACGTTCACTTTTACGTTTTGCCTTTAACAACTCCATTTTAACAAAACGCCTAAATCAAAACTACTCGAAATCACACAAACGTCCTGTCAAACGGACGCCAAACTTTTATGTTGAAACTAAATAACGTTTGCATAATCCGAGTTCAGAAAACAAAACATTTATTTTACATATTTTAAAGAAATAACGTTCTGAAACAACATGTTTCATCTACACAATCAATCGACGCTTTCACCAGAGCATTACGCCATCAAACCTGGCACACATCCAAAAGTTCAAATTGAAGAATTACAGAAGCGTTGTTGCCACACAAGAAAAGACATATAGTTACAACTTCACACAATAATAAAACAAAAACACACTTTAGAAAAATAGACAATAATAATAAAAATAGTAATAATAAAATTCTTAACAATATTTTCTCGATTATGCAACAGATAGCGTCCCTACGAGATGGTAACCAAAAAACAAAAACAAAAAAGGAACCACGTGATTTAAAGCAATTACTAAGTATTTAATGCCAGAACATAATAAAATGAGCATAATAATAATGATCATAATAAATAAATGAATTTAAAGGTACTTTAGTGACAGATATTTGATTTAGCTTAGAGAAAAGAAGTTCTACTTATCTGAATGTTCCGTCTTGGTGTTGTAAAAGATTGCAAGGAAGATAAGACCTTTAGGTACACGAAAACTTTCGGTTTTGAGAACGAGACAATGTAGAGGATATTCGCGAAAATTTTTATTAAATAAATGAACGTTTTCTGAAAGAAACTTTTGAAAATTTAGGAGCTCTTCTAAGATCCTGCCTCCATCGTACGTGATCACAGCGCCCTCCCTTATGCATCACCAATTTTGAAATAAAAAACAGAGGAAAAGACCAACGACTTCTTATAACAGTATATTATCTCGTTGGAAAAGACAGACTTTTAAGAGTTACAAAATAACTACAACAAAAATAAAAAAATAATAATCAACGAAAATTCAAAAATGAATATTTTTTAATTTAAAAGTGATTTCCCTAAACTTTTTCATTCGTTTATTCTAAAAATTTATCAAATTATAATTTTTTACTGTATAATAAGACACAAAAATCAAATATTTATTTTCGCTCAGGTTTTCAATGCAATTCCGCGCTACTATACTCCGTGGTCACGAACTATAACTACTCCAGAGTATAAATACAGACCTTTATACTCCGTGTGTTGAAAGAATAGGCAAATATTTATCAACAAACCGCCTTAAGTTCACTGTGTTCAAGGTTAGAATATTCTAATTTAACCTCCTTGAGTGAGTACATGTAGCAAAAGGTTTGATCAGGTTCCTTGTTTGATGCGGATATGGCAAGGAGGTTAGAATACATGGAGATGGCGTCTCTGCTGTCGCAATACGAGGAGCGTGAAGCCGGGGAAGGCAAATAAGCCACGCCTCGTGAGGGCAAGAAAACGCTTCCCTTACTATGTCAAGTGAGGTTAAACGTCAGCTTGTTTGAAGTTTTGAGTGTGTTTTCTGATTTCTTATGTGAAGACGTGAGAGGGTTATAAGGTACTGAATGGTTACATTGAAATAATGTCTACATTTCGGATTTCATTTCCATATAAAAGAATGTTTTTTTAACATGCATAAATAAGTAGAATAATTGAAATGTGCGTTTGAAAAGCCGTCAGAAAAGAGTTTGAGTATTTTCTCGGTGTGACGTGCGCGAAGAAGAAACATCTATAATTCTCAGATTTTTTCTTCAATTAATGGTTTGAGTATTATACTCGTAATTAACTGAGTTGTAAAAGCAGAACGGTAAGTAAACAAGGGAAGGGGGAGTGGTCAGCTCATAGTGGAAAAGAAAACGCGTTATTTTAAAGGTGTGATCATATTATATTACAAGTCATATTTTATGTATTTAATTTTATTTTCTGTTCAAGTAAATATTTAATAACAGGATTTAATTTGGGGTGAAATTTGTGGGAGTTTTAAAAATAACAATGCAGAATTTAAATATTATTTTTTATCATTGTTCATGCAATTTAATATTTTTCAAAACGTAAGTAGTATTTCTAACATGGAAAATTGAGAATTATACCTGTATATATTTAGAATAACTAAAATATAATCAATTAATGGTTTGAGTATTTATTTATTTATTTTCACAATACCTTTATTGCTAGCATTCATTAATGACAGCATGTAATTACATAATGCATTTTTCATTTAACTCATTTTAATGGAATCAGTCCCTTTGTACATATATTTTCCCTCTGCACATCCTGATAATCATTAGAATTGATACAATTATCAGCACTTGCAGCCGTTTCCTTGGATATGTTTTAAACATGCACAGCAAATTTTTATCTAACTTTGAGTATAATTAAATAAATGATAGTATATATGTTAAAAGAATATTTACCTGTGAAATGTAATACCGGATCCTGCTATTCTTCTATTTGTACAGCCGAAAGCGACGCAGGAATAAAAATTGCTTCTCGGAACAATATTGCAGCCGTCTACAAGATGATAGAAAATGTAGAAATAAAATGAAATGGCGGGAAAAAGTGAAGGAAAAAGCGCGCGAAGAATCCACGGTCTTTAATTTACGAAACTGGGTGTGGCTAGGTTCTGCCTCATTGGCTGAAGAGCTCGTCAATCTTTCTAAAGCCACGACTAAAGCCACGACTACTAAGGGCATGCTTTCCCCCACTTTTTGGCTTCACTTGGACTGCGGGCAGGGCATCTCCATGTGTTCTAACCTCCTTGGGATATGGCTAGTCTAAACATTAAGGCATCACAAGTGGCAACATCGGTCGCGCCAAACTTCGAATATTGTCGTATATATTTGTTTTCGTATCAAATTTTAGTAATGTAACTGTTAAATCACTCATCTCATTTTGAATTATTTTGTAGTATGTGTAAACGAACATCTCCACAGTGCATACATGTATCAATACGGTATGAAAGTAATCGTATGCAACCGCAACAATTATGATCTTTTTATGGGCGACGGTAGTATATGTTTTTTATAGTAATTGTTTTTTATAATTTTGTTTTATTTGAATATGTTTATTGGTTAATATAAGTTGACTGTTACATTATGATATTATGTTTATTTTTCATACCTGCACAGCTGCTTAACCCAACATCTCAGCAGAATAGGCATATTGACTAATATCCGATGCCCTATTTGTAAAATAGATACTATGAATAAGCAGCATTTGCTCGTCGATTCGGACCTTAAATCTCAAGTTACATCATAGTGGTGATGTTCGGCTAGATTGGATGGACAGCGATCGTATGTCCTGAGCACACGGTTGTTTTGCTTCTAATCACTGAAGGTTTTTAAGATTTGAATTGTAAAATTTTTAAGTCTTAATTTTTTGTTATTTTAAACACTCGAATTTTATTGCTGTAATTTTTAATATTTTTTTATGTAATTTTGAATTTACTGTTTTGTTTTTGGTGAGTGGCCTGATGTAAATGTATTGATTTCCGGATAAAGCCATAAGAAACAACAATATGTTTCATATCTGAAAAATTTTATTTTTCGCGTATTAAATGTCATACCATACCGACCAAGCACTTACTTAAAAGAAGAATGTCCTTGTTTGTATATAATGATGCTTGAAGTATAAATTGTTTGTATTGTCTTAAATTAATAAGGGAAGGTTCTTTGCAAAAGAAAACCCTTAATAAGTTTTTTAATATGAACTATAATAGCATTTTACAGTAATGATAAGATGTAGCTATTTAAGTAATTGTGTATGTATTGAAGCGGCCATTGTATATCTGTTTGGTGGTATTTAATATGTGCATGCTACAAATTTGGCAGAAATTTAATGATTTTTACAATTAATACAGTGATAACTTTGATAATCAAATACGTAATTGCTGAGATTTTTTCAAAACTTTATCCATATAATTTTTTTATGTTTGTGTTATTAAAACTTTTGTGTATGGAAATGGTGAAAATTTTTTACCTGTCAAGTTAATTTCCAGAAGTCTTTTAAACTGACTTAAAATTTAAAATAAAGAAAGGTAAAAGTTTACAAGTGGGTGCTCTTTGTTTTTTTGGCGATTCTTTTTTGACTCCAGAAAGGCACCATTTCGATATGGCCGCTACATAAAACCAAAATAAGTCAAAGAATTGCACAAACTGTGTATCCATGTACACATCGATCTGTTTTCACTTAAAAAAAGCATCCTAGAATTACGCAAACTAGGCATTGCACGCACTGCCTTAAATTTGTCCATATACACATCAATCTATTTTCATTTAAATAAAATCAGGAAGCTAAAACAAAGTTAAAACTATCATGGTAACCAGAAAGGAGGTTTCATCACCAAAATTAAAAAAAAAAAAAAAAAAAAAAAACTGTCGTTAATCAAAGGGGCACCCAATTCTTAAAGAAACTGTAAATTTATCATATTTCATTTCTAGATGTCTGCTTTATGCTTTTGAATTTCATGTTGATCATAAACTTTTTTTTTGTATAATGTAATTATTTTAGTATATTTATTTATTTTATAAGGTACTCAAAAGTTTTGCATGTTGTATGTTTATAAAATAGTGATGAGCTCAGATAGGCATGTACCTGTATTAGAAGCATTATGGTGTAAGACTCTTGTTTATAGGCTTCACAGATGATTCATTTCTACAGCAGTCACTTTGATTTCGTAGGGGGAGGGCATAATCTGGCATAGGTGCATTTCCGTTTCATTTTGACTCGTTATGATATTATTTAAGGTGGTGTAGATAAATTTTAAGATTGTAACTATGTACCTTCTTAAATTTTTAAAATGCTAAAAAATGAAACTGTTAAAGCAACTTGCACATACAGTCAAAAGTCTTTAATCCGGACTCGGCGATTCCGGATTATCGGTTTTTCCGGATTATACACTCAAGAGCCAAAACATTATGACCAGCCGTACATTTTGCGATGAACGCACCTGGATGACATGGAAGGCACGTGATCGGGTGGAAGTGGTATTTAACTGCTGCTGGAGAGTCTGAAGAATCATTCTTTCACTTACTTCTGTGTGTGATGGGAAAGGCTGCGGATCTAAGGGACTTTGATAAAGGGCAGATAGTAATGGCTCGAAGGCTTGGAACAAGTATTTCCGAAACTGCACGACTCGTGGGTTTCTCGCGATCTACAGTTGTTAGTACGTATGAAAAGTGTATGAATGACGGTGAAACCAGCAGTAGACGACATGTTGTTGGACATCCACACGCTATCAAAGAAGATCATCGGAGACTGTCTGGCATGGTGAAGCAAAACCGGAGGCAGACAGTGGCTCAACTGACAGCCGAATACAGTGTAGGGCCAATTAGAAAAGTATCGGCGGACACTGTTGGGTATGGGGCTACGCAGCAAACGTCTCACTCGTGTGCCTTTGCTGACCAAGCGTCATCGCCAACTGCGCGTGCGCTGGGCCAAGGAACATCGCGACTGGTCCATGGATCAGTGGGAGAAAGTTGCCTGGTCAGATGAATCACAGTTTATCATTCATCACTCCGATGGCCTGCAGGATACGCCGTCTTCCAGGCGAACAATTGCTCCCTCAATGCACAGTAGGTCATACACAAGCCGGTGGTGGTGGTATTATGCTGTGAGGGATGTTCTTTTGGGCGTCTCTGGAACCTGTGGTTGTGGTAGAGCAGACCATGAATGCTACAGGGTATCTGAACATCATTGTGGACCAGTTGCATCCTTACATGACCTCTGTTTTTCCAGCTGGAAATGGAATATTCCAACAGGACAACGCCCCGTGTCACAAGGCTACAATTGTGTTGGAGTGGTTCCAGGAACATGATGCTCATTTTCCAGTTAATGTCCTGGCCGCCTAACTCACCGGATCTCAATCCGATAGAACACATTCGGGATTTCATGGGACGGCAGCTCAGAGGTCAAAGACTACCAGTTCGCAATATCTTGGATTTGCGTGACCATTGCTACAACATCTGGTACAATCTGTCTCCGGCCATCTATCAAGGACTTCTGGCATCCATGCCAAGGCGGGTTGAAGCTGTGTTGCGTGCCAAAGGTGGCCCAACTCGTTATTCACAGGTGGTCATAATGTTTTGGCTCTTGAGTGTAGATCATCAGTTTAAATCTGGTAAGATGGCATGCAGAAATTATAAAATTAAAAATATGAAACCTTAATTTATGAACCAAAGAGCAATTATCATCTAAAGGGTATCAAAATTTACGAAAGAAAAGCTTAATATTTATTTGTTTACTTTATTAAACATTTCTTTCTATGCGCACGCGTGCGTAAAGCATACATTACGCATAGTCAAAAATGCAACCAGAAAACTATTTGATGTGTATTCGTGATATTTATAATGACGAGGAATTTGATTTAAATCATATCAGAGTACATCAAGATGAAATACTACATTTAGTAAGGAATTATAAGCCGAATAAAATAAAAACATCTGCTTTGAAGATAAGGATAGTGCTGACAGATCAACTTCCATGCATTATGCGTTTGCACATGCGCAGAGAGTTTGTAGCTTTGAGGTTGGGATTATAGATCATTCTGGATTATGAACGTCCGGATTAAAGACTTTTGACTGTATCTGTGATCTTGTAGAAACACTTAATACATTTCTAATTTTAGCAAAGCATTTGGGTAAAGTAAGAAATCGGATGAAATACTTAACAAATAATTAAAACATTGTTAAACCATTGCCGGTTTTTTACCCCTTTTTAGAAAATGGACCAAACGTTGATGTAAATTTCTAACCTTTTCTTGTTAGAATGCCTTGTTTCCAACTCTAAGTGTGTAAAGCGCACAATCGCCCACTTATTTGTTTGGCGGTTTTTACAAGAGTAAGAAGAATTGGATTTTTGCCAATTTTCTTTGTCATTTTAAGTAAAAATAGGTCGGTGTGTATGTGAATAAAGTCAAGGGAGCATGCAATTCTGGGATGTTTTTTTAAGTGAAAATAGGTTGATGTGTACGTGGACACCAAGTATGTGCAATTCTTAAAAACGCACCAAGCAGTGGGTGATTCTACACTTTCTCCCCTCTGAGTGTGTCTCAAGATGGTTTTGAGTGCAGCAGAAATAATTTCCTACTCCCCCCTGTCATTTTCCATTTCTTCATTGATGAATTGCTTTACGCCAAACATCTAAAAAGCTGAGCCTCGTTCCCCCCTTTCATTTACGGCAGAGTTTGAACAGAAAAGCCTTCATTTATGTAGAAACCTTTCTCGTGACTGAGTTTTCTTCTTCAGCTGAATAATTGATGCATTCTAAAAAACTGAAATTGCTCATCACAGTGCCCATGCCTGCGAACATACCGTTTCCTTCTCATCTGTTATAATATAGATGGCATTTTCTACAAATTCTCATATTTATATTTCATTCATTCCTATATTAATTTTTTCATTTTTATTTTATGCTTTTTATGGTCACATTTATGAATACAGAACACTGTTTTGTGCAGTAATAGTATGTTTCCTCTAAACCAGTGATCGCCAAACTTACGAAATTTCTGAGCTGTCGTACCATTTGTAAATCTTACTGTGAGATAAAAGACTACCAACTTAAATATATATATATATATATATATCGCATTGCCTATAAACTTACATTTCTAGTAAATGTGAAATCAATTTCAGTTAAACTGTATATAACAGAAGGAAACTGAAATTGAGTTGTACTTCACTAAGAAACTGAAGTGTAATTAGTAATAAATAACAAACATAATAGCAGATTTTTTTTTTTTTTTTTTTTTTCATCAGACTTATTAACTTTAATGAGAAGGATGGAACTCCTTTTTGTGATCAACAAGTTTTTATTGTTGGGAGAGTAGGTAGTGGCTGCCATTCAAATACAGTTGTCCAAGTTTCTATCAGTGAGTCTGTTTCTGTAATTACTTGTAATAAATTTCATACTGGAAAGAGAAATGTTACACAGATACGTAGAGCTCAACATTGCCTTCACTTTAAACCTGGACCAAAATTAGGTATTTTTCATATATTTCAGTAGTTCAGTTTCATATAACCAGTTAAAGAAAATGGTTTTACAAATATTTTGAAAATCAATGAGTTCCAACTCCACTGCAGAATTGTCTTCTTGAAAATCAAAATGCTCCGTGACACAAGTAGAGAACTAAAGTCTGCCACAATTGAAATCTTGGAAGTGTCTGTTGAATTCACTCCCCAAATCTGAAAAAAATTCAACCTGTTGTATACTGCTGTAAGGAGATATTGAAGATTCTTGCTTGTCAATGATTGTTTCAAACAGGCAAAGTCTTTGTATTCACTGTGGATGATATTTCCTTCGCACGGTTTGAGCTTTTTTAAGAATGAAGCAACATGTGAAACTATTCATCCAATATCTTTGTCCTTACCTTGAAGCTGCATGTTAAGAGTATTTAACTTATTGGTGATGTCTGTGAGAAAAGAAAACTCCTACAGCCAAACTGGATCTCCTAGTTCAGGGAAGGATTGGCCTCGTTCTTTTAAAAATTCTACTGAAGCAGGAAGCAACTCTTGAAAACGTTTAAACTCTGCCTTTACTCAAACAGCAAACTTCCATATGAAGCACTAGATCACCATACTGGCAATCTAACTCATCAGTCAGTGCTCTGAACAAGCATCTCTGAATTGCATGTGCTTTTACTTTGTTCACTATTTCTATGACTGTTGTCTTCACATTGTTCATACTTAAAAACTTCCCACACAGTGACTTCTGGTGTATTACACAAGGGTAAGACTGGAATTTCGGAAAGCTGTCGTATTTATGACACAAGGTTATGAATCTCTCTCTCACAGGAGCTCCATCAATTGTTAAGCCCACCAACATTTAAAAGAATATCTTTAAAGTTTATAATAACTTTAACTGCTAAAAATAGGTCCTGCCCTCTAGTGCTTCCTGTTAATGATATAATCTTTATCTGCGCCTTTTTTATTTCGAAATTATCAAAAACCATTTTTTCAAAAATGGCTTAACTGAATTGTATCAAATATCAGTCGATAAATCAAATTGCAGAGAGAAATTTTGCTTGCTTTTTATAAGTCAGTTTTAAGTTGTGAGGGAACATCAGAACTCGCAACCTCATTACTGTATTTGCAGAAAGCTGTATAGATTTAATAGCAGACATTATCGCAGCTTTATTTTTGAATTATCGAATAATGCATCTGCAGCTTCTAAAATGCAGTTTTGATTATTTCACCGTGTTCAAAGGGTTTTTTTATTCTCTGCATTGATATTTGAAACTCGGAATGATGCCTCAGTTGATGCTGTATTCTTGTTTAATGGTTTTTAAAAAGTTGATTGTTGAGCATTAAGTTTAGATTTTAGCTATCTTAACTTTTCTTAGAGCAAAATTCAGTGGGAAATGTTTTTCAGTCCCTGCGTGAACGGTTTCGAAGTGATGTTTGAAGTTCCCTTTCTTCCCAACAGATATGCTTGCATGTAGCATAGAAAATACACACATACCTGGTGAAAATGTAATCGTAACCTTTACCTGGGTGAAAAAGTGATCGTTCTCCATTCTGAATGAAAGTGGTAAGTTTTTGCTTCAATACGTTATCATTATAACAGACCAAGCTTAATACTAATGTGTAAACCAAACTATCCATATGTACACTGCTCAAAAAAAAAAAAAAAAAAAAAGGGACAGTGCTATATCTCCCGTTCTACTGGGGCGATTCACGAAATTCAAATTGCGTTCTTCATGTCTCGAAAGCGCGACTTAGGATATATATTAGATTTATATATAGCACTATTCCAACATAGGTATTTTGACACAAAATCGGACTTTTTCTGAAATAACATACCAATTTTTTTACATATTTCGATTCTACGACTCAAATTATGCCAGAATACCAAGTTTTGTAAAAATCGTATGAGTAGTTTTTGAAATATTAGCTCTCAAAATTTTAGCTCCTCAATGTTAATTGAATTTGGCAAATATTTATTTATATCTCTTTTTTATTAAACTTTTTTGATTTTTTCTCTCACATTTCGAAATTTAGGTTCATTCCAAATAAAATTTACCCATTTTTGTGTTTTATTTTTTAAATTTCTATTTTAAATAATTTTTATAAATTTTTCGAAAAAAATTTTGATTATAACCTATAAAATTTTTACCATCATCTTAAAGTAGGTATATTTTTAAGCATATCTGCAAAAAATTAGACTTTTTTATTCAAAATTTTCTAAGATATACACAAATTTACATATTTTCGCGTTTTGAAATTTGGCATCTTTTTTTTTTTGAGCGATAATAACGCCAAATGTGGTCTATGGATTTTTGTTACACTGTATTGCCACAGCTATTTTTAACCTTAAATTTCAAGTAAAATTTTACGGAGAATTAATTATATGACATTTTTTTCCCTCAATGATGCGTAATAAATATTTATTAATACTATATGAAAAGCTATTTTTTTAAAATTAATTTTTTAATATTTTTTAATTTCTCTCTATCTTTTTTTAAAAATCTTTTTTTTTTTTTTTTTTTTTTTTTAAATAAGAGTAAATTTTTGTAAGAGTAAATTTTTACCTTCGGCGCTTTATCGTCTGCTACTTTACTTCGTTTAAATCGAATTGTCTAAAACTGAGAATTTTCGTTTGATGTTTATTTTGAATTTTATGACATTAACTGCACACAATTATTTCTTAACAAACTGATGCTTTTGAAGTGGCTGGTACTATCATCCATATTTTTAAATCACAGTATATTTTTATAGAAACATAAGATTTAGAATAATCATTTTTATAAAAGTCAAATTATGATATATATATACAACCCTCTAGAGACTGAATTAATGGAAGTTCAATGGTTATGTAGAAATGATTTGAAGCTACTTAATCGCTGGATAAGTCAGCAGATTCCGTGGACAAGTAAGAATAATTATATAAACGACACCCAACATTATGAATTCAATTAACAACGAGGATACGATGTTTATTAAATGAATTCAAGAAGTTTTAAAACATAAAAAATCAACTCATTTTTTATCCTAAAATGTAATTTTGTGTGTAGCGTATTTTCATTATTCTAATTTAAAATTCTAATAATTCTTAAAATTCTAATTTAGAATGTAATTGTCAAGAACTGATTCCTAATCGTCAGTAATATAATAAGTAATTATTACAGTTATTAATAAATCCTTCTTATAAAGTAATTGCAAATATTTCAAAAAGCTTTCTGTCTGAATGCAAATATTTTTAATTTTATATTAATCAAGATTGCACACGATATTATTTATTTGCACTTCAATTCTTAACGTCAGTTCTAGTAGAAGTTACAAATCAATTATATTTAATTAAGGATTGGATTATTTAATTATGGCAAAGCACACGAGGGCTATCTGCCTAAAGGGAGGGATGCCTTCGTGGAGGACTTTCTAAGGGAAACTGGCTCATATAACACGTTACACATCGGGAAAACCACGAAAACAACCCATGCAACCAGCCCGTTCGCGGGATTCGAACCTCGGACCGAACTACCAGTGATCAGCGTCTTTTCCGCTCGGCCGTTTGTGGGCCTTTATGAAATGGAAGGCGATAACTTTATTTAAAATGATTGTCAGAAATACCAAAATGTTTCGAAAAGTTGGATACTTTTTAATATACTTTCAGAATGCTTAAAGAAAAAGAGAAGAAAAATAAATTTTTTCGTAAAATTTAGCATTTGTATTTTTTTTAATTTAAAACTTTTCAATGTTATGATATTTGATTCTTGCGATTTCAAAAATAAAATATTTGACTAAAATATGAATAACATTTTAAGAAACCAAATGTAGGATAAAACTGTTTAAAGCAGTGTATGCAAGTCATCCTAAGTTAAAATGTCGGTTATACATCTCTCTTATTTATATATATCTTTTCTGAACGGAACATTGAAAGGCGTGTAAAACTGTGCTTTACTGCATTTTCTCTTTTAATATAGTATGCAGTTTTCAAACTCATCGTAGTCTGGGTTACAAAGTATTCTTCCGAAAGAAATGCAGTTCAAATAAATAAAATCAAATTCTGGAAAATTGATATTAATAAATATATTTAAAATGCTCAGTTCGAAGGAATAAATAGAAAATTTTAAAACAATTATCTGAAGAGACAATGCAACACAAACAATTAAAATAAAAGTATAAAAATTTAAAAATTACCTAAAATAATAACTATGACGAAAATATATATATAAAGAAAACTATTTGAAAAAAAAATAAAAACGCTGCACCTTTATTTACGCAGTTCGAATAGGTAAATAGAAATTTTTAAAACAGGTATTCGAAAAAAAAAAAAAAAAAAAAGGTGCAACTTAAACAATTAAAATGAAATTCGAAAAAGAAAAAAATTCCTTAAAATTATAAGTTATAATTAAAAATATAATATAAAGAATATTATTTGGAAAAAAGGAACGATGGTGACTTTTTTTCCTTTCACGGGAAAGGAAACTAGGTTTCCATATATTAAGAAGTTCGCCAAGTGAAGTACTCTTGGCGCAAACTGAAAAAAAAGTGCCAACATAAATTTGTAAATTTCTCCGTAAATTTCGCTCCAAATTTTACAAAATTTCATATTTAGGCGTAATTTGAGTCGTAGAATCGAAATATGTAAAAACATTGGTATGTTATTTCAGAAAAAGTCTGATTTTGTGTGAAAATACCTATGTTAGAATAGTGCTATATATAAATCTAATATATATCCTAAGTCGCGCTTTTGAGACATGAAGAACGCAATTTGAATTTTGTCAATCGGCCCAGTAGATCGGGAGATATAGGACTGTCCCATTTTTTTTTTTTTTTTTGAGCAGTGTACATGAGAAACATAACGTGCACAACCTCATTTGTATACAGTCAACTATGAGATGAGGCTGACAATTGTCATCAGCATCAGCTCAGTAGAGAAATCAAGGTTAGCATACTGAAGCTTTAACACAATCTACTAAAAATGGCTCCGTGAGCTACTAGTAGCTTGCGATTGACGATTTGCAGATCACAGCTCTAAACTGAATAGGTAAATTTTATTAAACTCACTATTGTTTAATTTATCAATTACTATTTTTTAATTGTCACTATCTGCTTAATTTATCAAGTCATAAGAAAATACTTCATATCTCAAAAGATCAATAGCGTCTAATAGTAATATTGTAGACATACATCCTCAGTAGACAAATAAAATGTTAACAGTGATGTCTGAAATCAGTTGTGTCTAATTATGAACATTTTTTTTTGTTCTGTTAAATGGTTATGTATAACAATGTTTCATCCATCTTAAAATTGTTGGATCATTGATTCATGTCTAATTGCTTCAAAAGAAATGCATAATACGAGGGCCATCCAGGAAGTAGATTACGTTTCCGTCTGTGTCCGCTAGGGGCGGGGCTAGCGCGGCCATCTTGGGGTCAGAGCGTTGCGCAGCTCAGTCTGCATCTAGCCGTGCTAGTGAGAGGTTCGTGCTGTGCTCCGTTCAGATACTGTGACGGTTTGAAATGTCTGCGTTAATTGAAAATCCCGCGAGGTGCGCTCAGTAATAAGGTTTCTGACTGCAAAAAACTGTAAACCGATAGAAATCTATCGGCAGCTTCGTGAAGTGTATGGGGACAACATTATCACTGAAGGTGGAGTGCGTCAGTGGATCATAAGATTTCAAAATGGCCGAACCAATGTTCACGACGAAGATCGAAGTGGGAGACCCAGCATAGTGACCGCCGAACTTCTCGAAAACGTCGATGCTAAAGTCCGTGAAAATCGAAATTTCACAATAACGGAACTTTCTTTGAGTTTTCCACAAATTTCGCGAAGTTTGTTGCACGAAATCATCAGCGAAAAGCTTGGTTACCACAAGTTTTGTGCAAGATGGAAGGCAAGAAGAGGTAACGAAGTGGTTGAAGGCGCAGGCGGCCGAATTTTTCGACGAAGGAATTTCCAAGCTCGTACATCGCTACGATAAATGCCTTAATTTGTATGGTGACTATGTAGAAAAGTAGTATTTGAGTGTGGCTTTCATCTGTATATAATAAAATTTGTTTCCTATACTTTGTTTATTTTTTTATTCCAAAACGTAATCTACTTTCTGGATAGCCCTCGTATTGTCATGCAAGTCTCAATTTCCAAATTCTGTATTAGCATGATATTTTAACTTTCAAAAGAATTGCCGATTTATTTGTTTATGAATATTTTGGTAATTATGTCATTTTTAATCCATAAAATTTTAATGATTATGAATTTAATATTTTTTGTAAAATTCTAATTATATAATTGAAACCAGTCTTTTTTTTTTTTTTTTTTTTGTTTTGTTTTGTTTGCAGAATAAAATGTATTATTAACAATTCTTAACTAAACAAGCAATTTAATGATGCTTAATAAATATTTCAGTATTGCAAATTTGAATGAAGTAATCTAAATGGTTTTCATGTATCCGGGTTCTACTGTTCTCTGTTCTTAAATGTGTATATGAATATATATGCTTAAATATATGTGCGATGATATGCTGACAAACAAAATGCTTTGTCAAAAATCTTGTTTCTTGCCATACTGCTACTGCTGAGTTAGTAT